GGAACAGAAATGGCACCTCTGGAGCCGAAATGGCACCTCTGGAGCAGAAATGGCACCTCTGGAGCAGAAATGTCACCTCTGGAACAGAAATGGCAGCTCTGGAGCAGAAATGTCACCTCTGGAACAGAAATGGCAGCTCTGGAGCAGAAATGGCACTTCTGGAGCCGAAATGGCACCTCTGGAGCAGAAATTGCACCTTTGGAGCAGAAATGGCACCTCTGGAGCAGAAATGGCACCTCTGGAGCAGAAATGACACCTCTGGAGCAGAAATGGCACCTCTGGAGCAGTAATGGCACCTCTGGAGCAGAAATGGCACCTCTGGAGCAGAAATGGCACCTCTGGAGCAGAAATGGCACCTCTGGAGCAGAAATGGCACCTCTGGAGCAGAAATGGCACCTCTGGAGCAGAAATGACAGCTCATGAACCAAAATGACAGCTTCTGAACCAAAATGACAGCTCATGAACCAAAATGACAGCTCATGAACCAAAATGACAGCTTCTGAACCAAAATGACAGCTTCTGAACCAAAATGACAGCTTCTGAACCAAAATGACAGCTCATGAACCAAAATGACAGCTTCTGAACCAAAATGACAGCTCATGAACCAAAATGACAGCTCATGAACCAAAATGACAGCTTCTGAACCAAAATGACAGCTCATGAACCAAAATGACAGCTTCTGAACCAAAATGACAGCTCATGAACCAAAATGACAGCTTCTGAACCAAAATGACAGCTCATGAACCAAAATGACAGCTTCTGAACCAAAATGACAGCTCATGAACCAAAATGACAGCTTCTGAACCAAAATGACAGCTCATGAACCAAAATGACAGCTTCTGAACCAAAATGACAGCTCATGAACCAAAATGACAGCTCATGAACCAAAATGACAGCTCATGAACCAAAATGACAGCTTCTGAACCAAAATGACAGCTCATGAACCAAAATGACAGCTTCTGAACCAAAATGACAGCTCATGAACCAAAATGACAGCTCATGAACCAAAATGACAGCTCATGAACCAAAATGACAGCTTCTGAACCAAAATGACAGCTCATGAACCAAAATGACAGCTTCTGAACCAAAATGACAGCTCATGAACCAAAATGACAGCTCATGAACCAAAATGACAGCTCATGAACCAAAATGACAGCTTCTGAACCAAAATGACAGCTCATGAACCAAAATGACAGCTCATGAACCAAAATGACAGCTCATGAACCAAAATGACAGCTTCTGAACCAAAATGACAGCTCATGAACCAAAATGACAGCTCATGAACCAAAATGACAGTTCATGAACCAAAATGACAGCTTCTGAACCAAAATGACAGCTCATGAACCAAAATGACAGCTTCTGAACCAAAATGACAGCTCATGAACCAAAATGACAGCTCATGAACCAAAATGACAGCTTCTGAACCAAAATGACAGCTCATGAACCAAAATGACAGCTTCTGAACCAAAATGACAGCTCATGAACCAAAATGACAGCTTCTGAACCAAAATGACAGCTCATGAACCAAAATGACAGCTCATGAACCAAAATGACAGCTTCTGAACCAAAATGACAGCTCATGAACCAAAATGACAGCTTCTGAACCAAAATGACAGCTCATGAACCAAAATGACAGCTTCTGAACCAAAATGACAGCTCATGAACCAAAATGACAGCTCATGAACCAAAATGACAGCTTCTGAACCAAAATGACAGCTCATGAACCAAAATGACAGCTTCTGAACCAAAATGACAGCTCATGAACCAAAATGACAGCTCATGAACCAAAATGACAGCTCATGAACCAAAATGACAGCTTCTGAACCAAAATGACAGCTCATGAACCAAAATGACAGCTTCTGAACCAAAATGACAGCTCATGAACCAAAATGACAGCTCATGAACCAAAATGACAGCTTCTGAACCAAAATGACAGCTCATGAACCAAAATGAAATGACAGCTCATGAACCAAAATGACAGCTTCTGAACCAAAATGACAGCTTCTGAACCAAAATGACAGCTTCTGAACCAAAATGACAGCTCATGAACCAAAATGACAGCTCATGAACCAAAATGACAGCTTCTGAACCAAAATGACAGCTCATGAACCAAAATGACAGCTTCTGAACCAAAATGACAGCTCATGAACCAAAATGACAGCTCATGAACCAAAATGACAGCTTCTGAACCAAAATGACAGCTTCTGAACCAAAATGACAGCTTCTGAACCAAAATGACAGCTTCTGAACCAAAATGACAGCTTCTGAACCAAAATGACAGCTCATGAACCAAAATGACAGCTCATGAACCAAAATGACAGCTCATGAACCAAAATGACAGCTCATGAACCAAAATGACAGCTTCTGAACCAAAATGACAGCTCATGAACCAAAATGACAGCTCATGAACCAAAATGACAGCTCATGAACCAAAATGACAGCTTCTGAACCAAAATGACAGCTCATGAACCAAAATGACAGCTTCTGAACCAAAATGACAGCTCATGAACCAAAATGACAGCTTCTGAACCAAAATGACAGCTCATGAACCAAAATGACAGCTCATGAACCAAAATGACAGCTTCTGAACCAAAATGACAGCTCATGAACCAAAATGACAGCTTCTGAACCAAAATGACAGCTCATGAACCAAAATGACAGCTCATGAACCAAAATGACAGCTTCTGAACCAAAATGACAGCTTCTGAACCAAAATGACAGCTTCTGAACCAAAATGACAGCTTCTGAACCAAAATGACAGCTTCTGAACCAAAATGACAGCTCATGAACCAAAATGACAGCTCATGAACCAAAATGACAGCTCATGAACCAAAATGACAGCTCATGAACCAAAATGACAGCTTCTGAACCAAAATGACAGCTCATGAACCAAAATGACAGCTTCTGAACCAAAATGACAGCTTCTGAACCAAAATGACAGCTCATGAACCAAAATGACAGCTTCTGAACCAAAATGACAGCTCATGAACCAAAATGACAGCTTCTGAACCAAAATGACAGCTCATGAACCAAAATGACAGCTTCTGAACCAAAATGACAGCTTCTGAACCAAAATGACAGCTTCTGAACCAAAATGACAGCTTCTGAACCAAAATGACAGCTACTGAACCAAAATGACAGCTCATGAACCAAAATGACAGCTCATGAACCAAAATGACAGCTTCTGAACCAAAATGACAGCTCATGAACCAAAATGACAGCTTCTGAACCAAAATGACAGCTTCTGAACCAAAATGACAGCTCCTGAACCAAAATGACAGCTCATGAACCAAAATGACAGCTCCTGAACCAAAATGACAGCTCATGAACCAAAATGACAGCTCATGAACCAAAATGACAGCTCCTGAACCAAAATGACAGCTCATGAACCAAAATGACAGCTCATGAACCAAAATGGCAGCTCCTGAACCAAAATGACAGCTCATGAACCAAAATGACAGCTCATGAACCAAAATGACAGCTCATGAACCAAAATGACAGCTCATGAACCAAAATGACAGCTCATGAACCAAAAGCGAAGGATCTAGGGAGGATGGAAGTCTGTTCTTATGGTGACAGGGGTGATGGTGAGGGGGTGGTGGTGAAGGGTGATGGTGGTGGTGGTGGTGGTGACAGGGGGTGGTGGTGAAGGGTGAGGGTGGGTCGACTCACCCTCACCATCACCACGTGAGTGTGGGTGAGTGAGATATCACACTGAAATGTGTTGTAATCACGGTGTGGAAGAGCGTGACACGCTGTGGAAGAGCATGACACGCTGTGGAAGAGCGTGACACGCTGTGGAAGAGCGTGACACGCTGTGAAAGAGCGTGACACGCTGTGGAAGAGCGTGTCACGCTGTGGAAGAGCGTGTCACGCTGTGGAAGAGCGTGACACGCTGTGAAAGAGCGTGACACGCTGTGAAAGAGCGTGACACGCTGTGGAAGAGCGTGTCACGCTGTGGAAGAGCGTGTCACGCTGTGGAAGAGCGTGACACGCTGTGGAAGAGCATGACACGCTGTGGAAGAGCATGTCACGCTGTGAAAGAGCATGACACACTGTGGAAGAAGCACACCATCTGTGCTCCCAAGTGCCAAATTACATACCAAAAAGCAGATTTCGTTCTGCCTTAACAAGCAGATTCGGGATCACTATATGTGCTACACGCCTGGTTTAAGAGTGTACATGTACACCTTGGAGGGCCATGGTACGGCTACACATCCCCAGTACCGTCAGGGGGGGTGGGTGGGGTGGTACAGTACCCTTACCTGACCTTAAAAGTACCTTTTTATTTGCAGCGTCGAGGTACTTCTCCTGATCTTCCGTCAAGGGGTCCTCTTGTATGCCGTTTTCTATGAAGAACTGCCTGGTCATCACCGAGTCGACGGTGTGTTCACCGAACTTTGAGCTGTTCGAGCCCCGAGGGCAGGTTAATTAGGGTGCAGGTGGGGGGGGGGGGCCAGATTTACGAAGCAGTTACGCAAGTACTTACGAACGTGTACATCTTTCCTCAATCTTTGACGGCTTTGGTTACATTTATTAAACAGTAATTACATGTATGAAAACTTGCCATTCAACTGTTGTTATTGTTATAAACAGCCTCCTGGTGCTTCGGAGCTCATTAACTGTTTAATAATTACAAACAAAGTCGCCAAAGATTGAGAAAAGATGTACAGGTTCGTAAGTGCTTGCGTAACTGCTTCGTGAATCTGGCCCCAGGTTCGTAAGTGCTTGCGTAACTGCTTCGTGAATCTGGCCCCAGGTTCGTAAGTGCTCGCGTAACTGCTTGGTGAATCTGGTCCCAGGTTCGTAAGTGCTCGCGTAACTGCTTGGTGAATCTGGCCCCCCCAGGTTCGTAAGTGCTTGCGTAATTCCCGTGAATCTGGCCCCAGGTTCGTAAGTGCTTGCGTAACTGCTTGGTGAATCTGGCCCCAGGTTCGTAAGTGCTTGCGTAACTGCTTCGTAACATGCTCATTAAATGCCATAAAAAAGGCACTAAAAAGTCACTTTTTTTTTACGTGTGAAGTGACCCCCGGGACGTAAGTGCTTGCGTAACTGCTTCGTGAATCTGGCACTAACTGCTCCGCCTTGAGTTCCAGCGGCTGGATGGGGCTGTTGGCCTCTTCGGCGGCGATCTCCCGCTCGATTTTGAGGAACTGGTCGAGTGTGGAGCGGTCGATTTTGAGCTGCTTGCACCCGGGAGGGAGAGACAACAGTTTAGTGGATCACATTCATCTTTGAGAGACGCAAGGGAAAGATTAGAGAAGGTAGAGTGAGACCACACCATCTCTACCCCTCAATTAGGATTCATCACGAAGGTAGAAGACCTTTAGGAGAGTCCAATCCATCACTAACTACCCTAACGCTAATCACCTGCCATTATCCCACTTCTAACAGCTGCTGGCTTGTTAAAAATAATGTTGTGTTGCTCTGTTATATTTAAAAATGGGGAAATAAATCTCATGAAGCTTGTAATATGAGTGTTTCCCGCGCTTAAAGTGACGCGCCAGAAGCGGTTGGGTTGCCATGGCGACGCTATGCCGGTGATTGGACGGTGCGTCAGCCAATCAACACGTGGCATATTTGAAAAATATAACGGATTTCACGCTAGATGTGTGTGTGTGTGTGTGTGTGTGTGTGTGTGTGTGTGTGTGTGTGTGTGTGTGTGTGTGTGTGTGTGTGTGTGTGTGTGTGTGTGTGTACACTCACCTATTTGTACTCACCTATTTGTGCTTGCGAGGGTTGAGCTTTGGCTCTTTGGTCCCGCCTCTCAACTGTCAATCAACTAGTGTACAGATTCCTGAGCCTATTGGGCTCTATCATATCTACATTTAAAACTGTGTATGGAGTCAGCCTCCACCACATCACTGCCTAATGCATTCCATCCGTTAACCACTCTGACACTGAAAAAGTTCCTTCTAACGTCTCTGTGGCTCATGTGGGTACTCAGTTTTCACCTGTGTCCCCTTGTTCGCGTCCCACCAGTGTTGAACAGTTTATCCTTGTTTACCCGGTCGATTCCTCTGAGAATTTTGTACGTTGTGATCATGTCTCCCCTTACTCTTCTGTCTTCCAGTGTCGTAAGGTGCATTTCCCGCAGCCTTTCCTCGTAACTCATGCCTCTTAGTTCTGGGACTAGTCTAGTGGCACACCTTTGGACTTTTTCCAGCTTCGTCTTGTGCTTGACAAGGTACGGGCTCCATGCTGGGGCCGCATACTCCAGGATTGGTCTTACATATGTGGTGTACAAGATTCTGAATGATTCCTTACACAGGTTCCTGAACGCTGTTCTGATGTTAGCCAGCCTCACATATGCCGCAGACGTTATTCTTTTTATGTGGGCTTCAGGAGACAGGTTTGGTGTGATATCAACTCCTAGATCTTTCTCTCTGTCCGTTTCATTAAGTACTTCATCTCCTATTCTGTATCCTGTGCCTGGCCTCCTATTTCCACTGCCTAGATTCATTACTTTGCATTTACTCGGGTTGAACTTCAACAGCCAATTGTTGGACCATTCACTCAGTCTGTCTAGGTCATCTTGTAGCCTCCTACTATCGTCCTCAGTTTCAATCCTCCTCATAATTTGTGTGTGTGTGTGTGTGTGTGTGTGTGTGTGTGTGTGTGTGTGTGTGTGTGTGTGTGTGTGTGTGTGTGTGTGTGTGTGTGTGTGTGCACGCGCGTGTATAACAGATCCGTCAGAGAATGAAAACACAATTCCAGTGTTGAAGATTAATTGTTGAGTTGCATTTCTGGCTTTCAGGTAGATTAATTCTGAAGCATTTTTAGCTCCAGCCCTGACACCAGCCCTGACACCTGCCCTGACACCTGCCCTGACACCAGGCCTGACACTAGCCCTGACACTAGCCCTGACACCAGCCCTGACACCAGCCCTGACACCTGCCCTGACACCCGCCCTGACACCCGCCCTGACACCTGCCCTGACACTATCCCTGACACCCGCCCTGACACCAGCCCTGACACCAGCCCTGACAGTAGCCCTGACACTATCCCTGACACCAGCCCTGACACCAGCCCTGACACCAGCCCTGACACTAGCCCTGACACCTGCCCTGACACCCGCCCTGACACCTGCCCTGACACTATCCCTGACACCAGCCCTGACACCAGCCCTGACACCAGCCCTGACACCAGCCCTGACACCAGCCCTGACACTATCCCTGACACCCGCCCTGACACTATCCCTGACACCCGCCCTGACACCAGCCCTGACACCAGCCCTGACACTATCCCTGACACCCGCCCTGACACCAGCTCTGACACCAGCCCTGACACCAGCCCTGACACCAGCCCTGACACCAGCCCTGACACTAGCCCTGACACCAGCCCTGACACCAGCCCTGACACCAGCCCTGACACAAGCCCTGACACCAGCCCTGACACCAGCCCTGACACCAGCCCTGACACTATCCCTGACACCAGCCCTGACACTATCCCTGACACCTGCCCTGACACCAGCCCTGACACCAGCCCTGACACCAGCCCTGACACCAGCCCTGACACCAGCCCTGACACTATCCCTGACACCCGCCCTGACACTATCCCTGACACCTGCCCTGACACCAGCCCTGACACCAGCCCTGACACCAGCCCTGACACCAGCCCTGACACCAGCCCTGACACCAGCCCTGACACCAGCCCTGACACTAGCCCTGACACCAGCCCTGACACCAGCCCTGACACCAGCCCTGACACCAGCCCTGACACCAGCCCTGACACCAGCCCTGACACTAGCCCTGACACCAGCCCTGACACCTGCCCTGACACCAGCCCTGACACTAGCCCTGACACCAGCCCTGACACCAGCCCTGACACTAGCCCTGACACCAGCCCTGACACTAGCCCTGACACCAGCCCTGACACTAGCCCTGACACCAGCCCTGACACCAGCCCTGACACCAGCCCTGACACCAGCCCTGACACCAGCCCTGACATCAAGACACAAGTGGATAATGAGACACAGGTGGATAATGAGACACACACAGGTGGATAATGAGGCACACACAGGTGGATAATGAGATACACAGGTGGATAATGAGGCACACACAGGTGGATAATGAGACACACAGGTGGATAATGAGACACACAGGTGGATAATGAGGCACACACAGGTGGATAATGAAACACACAGGTGTATAATGAGACACACAGGTGGATAATGAGACACAGGTGGATAATGAGACACACACAGGTGGATAATGAAACACACAGGTGTATAATGAGACACACAGGTGGATAATGAGACACAGGTGGATAATGAGACACACAGGTGGATAATGAGACACACAGGTGGATAATGAGACACACAGGTGGATAATGAGACACACAGGTGGATAATGAGACACACACAGGTGTATAATGAGACACACAGGTGGATAATGAGGCACACACAGGTCTATAATGAGACACACAGGTGGATAATGAGACACACACACACAGGTCTATAATGAGACACACAGGTGGATAATGAGACATACTGGTGTATAATGAGACACACAGGTGGATAATGAGACACACAGGTGGATAATGAGACACACAGGTGGATAATGAGACACACACAGGTGGATAATGAGACACACAGGTGGATAATGAGACACATACTGGTGTATAATGAGACACACAGGTAGATAATGAGTCACACACAGGTGGATAATGAGACACACAGGTGGATAATGAGACACACAGGTGGATAATGAGACACACACACAGGTGGATAATGAGACACACAGGTGGATAATGAGACACACAGGTGGATAATGAGACACACAGGTGGATAATGAGACACAGGTGGATAATGAGACACACACACAGGTGGATAATGAGACACACAGGTGGATAATGAGACACACAGGTGGATAATGAGACACACAGCAGGATAATGAGACACACAGGTGGATAATGAGACACACAGGTGGATAATGAGACACACACACAGGTAGATAATGAGACACACACACAGGTGGATAATGAGACACACAGGTGGATAATGAGACACACAGGTGGATAATGAGACACACAGGAGGATAATGAGACACACAGGTGGATAATGAGACACACAGGTGGATAATGAGACACACAGGTGGATAATGAGACACACAGGTGGATAATGAGACACACACACAGGTGGATAATGAGACACAGGTGAATAATGAGACACACAGGTGGATAATGAGACACACACACAGGTGGATAATGAGACACACAGTTGAATAATGAGACACACAGGTGGATAATGAGACACAGGTGGATGATGAGACACACAGGTGGATAATGAGACACACACACAGGTGGATAATGAGACACACACACAGGTGGATAATGAGACACAGGTGGATAATGAGACACACAGGTGGATAATGAGACACACGTGGATAATGAGACACACACAGGTGGATAATGAGACACACAGGTGGATAATGAGACACACAGGTGGATAATGAGACACACAGGTGGATAATGAGACACACACACAGGTGGATAATGAGACACACACACAGGTGGATAATGAGACACACAGGTGGATAATGAGACACACCCACAGGTGGATAATGAGACACACAGGTGGATAATGAGACACACACAGATGGATAATGAGACACACACACAGGTGTATAATGAGACACACAGGTGGATAATGAGACACACACAGGTGGATAATGAGACACACACGGGTGGATAATGAGACACACACAGGTGGATAATGAGACACACAGGTGGATAATGAGACACACACACAGGTGGATAATGAGACACACAGGTGGATAATGAGACACACACAGGTGGATAATGAGACACACAGGTGTATAATGAGACACACACAGGTGGATAATGAGACACACAGATGGATAATGAGACACACACAGGTGGATAATGAGGCACACAGGTGGATAATGAGACACACAGGTGGATAATGAGACACACACAGGTGGATAATGAGACACACACAGGTGGATAATGAGGCACACACAGGTGGATAATGAGACACACAGGTGGATAATGAGACACACACAGGTGGATAATGAGACACACACAGGTGGATAATGAGACACACACAGGTGGATAATGAGACACACAGGTGGATAATGAGACACACAGGTGGATAATGAGACACACACACAGGTGGATAATGAGACACACACACACAGATGGATAATGAGACACAGATGGATAATGAGACACACACACAGGTGGATAATGAGACACACACACATGTGGATAATGAGACACACACACAGGTGGATAATGAGACACACACAGGTGGATAATGAGACACACACAGGTGGATAATGAGACACACACAGGTGGATAATGAGACACACACAGGTGGATAATGAGACACACACAGGTGGATAATGAGACACACAGGTGGATAATGAGACACACACAGGTGGATAATGAGACACACACAGGTGGATAATGAGACACACAGGTGGATAATGAGACACACACAGGTGGATAATGAGACACACAGGTGGATAATGAGACACACAGGTGGATAATGAGACACACACACAGGTGGATAATGAGACACACACACACAGGTGGATAATGAGACACACACACACAGGTGGATAATGAGACACACAGTTGAATAATGAGACACACACAGGTGGATAATGAGACACACAGGTGGATAATGAGACACACACAGGTGGATAATGAGACACACAGGTGGATAATGAGACACACACAGGTGAATAATGAGACACAGGTGGATAATGAGACACACACAGGTGGATAATGAGACACACACACAGGTGGATAATGAGACACACACACAGGTGGATAATGAGACACACACACAGGTGGATAATGAGACACACACAGGTGGATAATGAGACACAGGTGGATAATGAGACACAGGTGGATAATGAGACACACACAGGTGGATAATGAGACACAGGTGGATAATGAGACACACACAGGTGGATAATGAGACACAGGTGGATAATGAGACACACACACAGGTGGATAATGAGACACAGGTGGATAATGAGACACACACAGGTGGATAATGAGACACACACAGGTGGATAATGAGACACACACAGGTGGATAATGAGACACAGGTGGATAATAAGACACACACAGGTGGATAATGAGACACAGGTGGATAATGAGACACACAGGTGGATAATGAGACACAGGTGGATAATGAGACACACAGGTGGATAATGAGACACAGGTGAGGAAGGTACAATGAGAATGTTCTCACATCTGAGGTTTTACTGTTCTTCCTGGTCCTCTCCCGCTTGGCCACCAGCTGCTGTTGATGATTGAACCATTGATGATATTGGTGATTGATGATGCATTGATGACTGTGTTGATGTGATCATTAATGTGGTCATTGATGATGCAACCACTGATGATTGTGTTGATGTGATCATTGATGTGGTCATTGATGACTGTGTTGATGTGATCATTAATGTGGTCATTGATGATGCAACCACTGATGATTGTGTTGATGTGATCATTGATGTGGTCATTGATGACTGTGTTGATGTGATCATTAATGTGGTCATTGATGATGCAACCACTGATGATTGTGTTGATGTGATCATTGATGTGGTCATTGATGACTGTGTTGATGTGATCATTAATGTGGTCATTGATGATGCAACCACTGATGATTGTGTTGATGTGATCATTGATGTGGTCATTGATGACTGTGTTGCTGTGATCATTAATGTGGTCATTGATGACTGTGTTGATGTGATCATTAATGTGGTCATTGATGACTGTGTTGATGTGATCAATAATGTGGTCATTGATGACTGTGTTGATGTGGTCATTAATGTGGCCATTGATGACTGTGTTGATGTGATCATTAATGTGGTCATTGATGACTGTGTTGATGTGATCATTAATGTGGTCATTGATGACTGTGTTGATGTGATCATTAATGTGGTCATTGATGATACAACCATTGATGATCACTGGCGTTGATGATGAGATACATTGATGGCGTGTGAGGGGTATTAATTGCCACACTCTAAATTAATTACCAGAATTATCTGAAAGATTTAAAGTTAGAGGTAATTGGGGGACCTGGAACCAGCACCCACCTCGTTAATGTTATTGTGGGAGTCTTCCGTACTCTGACTGTTGTTGTTGGCACTGGGCTTCAAGCTGGAGTTGACAGTGCCTCCATACATGGCACTCGAGTACGGCGAAACCTGTTGGGCAAACATACGAATATAAAAGTGTACATAATGACATAATCAATCAATTGAGCTTGAGCTCATGAGGGTGTTAATAGGTCATTAGATGTCCGTAGTTGACAATAACCCATAACGACCCATTGAAGGGCCAAGGAACTCGTCCCACCCCAGTACAAAGGCTTGGCATCTACAGGTGACGACATCACCTTTCCGACAAAGTTCACAGTTAATCTGACCTTTTGACGAGAGGTCAGAGGCCACAGGTCAAGCCTTTGTTGTCTGAGAGGTCGTTAACACGTCGTTCCGTGGCTCTGAAGTTGATAGTATGTTGAATTACATGATTTCTATTCGGAATGGAAGGTGTTTCAAAGCGTTTACTTGAGAGATGTGATCCACTTGGACTGGTCGGTAGAGTAACAATCTTCCGTCTTAATGCTAGGTCGGGGCTCGATCCCCGAAGGTCCAAGCTGTTGGTCACTATTCCTTCACCCCGTCCTCGTATCCCAGCTCTTAATCCTATCCTTTCAAAGTGCTCTCCAAATAGGTACCAGTGAGTTAAACAGCTGCTAGCGGAGTTGATTCCTGGGAATGTGTGTAACAGGAGAAATAATACGTTCGACCACAGACGGCAAGAAAGGCGGGGCCCAAGAGCTAACAGCTCTATCCTGCAGGCGCAAATAGAATATATAAAGAGCAAAGACAAACTGACTAGCGTGAAATGACTCACTTTTTCTATTCAATAATTCACCAACATCGACCAGACGCAATATAAGAATTTATTATATATACTGGTTGTGTGTTGGGTTGCCAGGGTGGTTATATATTCTGCCCACTCCACCCCCTATTGTGTCCACTCTACCCCCTATTGTGCCCACTCTACCCCTATTGTGCCCACTCTACCCCTATTGTGTCCACTCTACCCCTATTGTGTCCACTCTACCCCTATTGTGCCCACTCTACCCCTATTGTGCCCACTCTACCCCTATTGTGTCCACTCTACCCCTATTGTGCCCACTCTACCCCTATTGTGTCCACTCTACCCCTATTGTGTCCACTCTACCCCTATTGTGCCCACTCTACCCCTATTGTGCCCACTCTACCCCTATTGTGTCCACTCTACCCCTATTGTGCCCACTCTACCCCTATTGTGTCCACTCTACCCCCTATTGTGTCCACTCTACCCCTGTTGTGCCCACTCTACCCCTATTGTGTCCACTCTACCCCCTATTGTGTCCACTCTACCCCTATTGTGTCCACTCTACCCCCTATTGTGCCCACTCTACCCCTATTGTGTCCACTCTACCCCTATTGTGTCCACTCTACCCCTATTGTGCCCACTCTACCCCTATTCTGCCCTCTCTACCCCTATTGTGCCCACTCTACCCTTATTGTGTCCACTCTACCCCTATTCTGCCCTCTCTACCCCTATTGTGCCCACTCTACCCTTATTGTGCCCACTCTACCCCTATTGTGTCCACTCTACCCCCTATTGTGCCCACTCTACCCTTATTGTGCCCACTCTACCCCTATTGTGCCCACTCTACCCTTATTGTGCCCACTCTACCCCTATTGTGCCCACTCTACCCTTATTGTGCCCACTCTACCCCTATTGTGCCCACTCTACCCTTATTGTGTCCACTCTACCCTATTCTGCCCACTCTACCCCTATTGTGTCCACTCTACCCCCTATTGTGCCCACTCTACCCCCTATTCTGCCCACTCTACCCCCTATTCTGCCCACTCCACCCCTATTCTGCCCTCTCTCAATCGACACCTATTTTCCCAGACACACCTTGTAGAAGGGGCATTCACCTATTTTGACTTCTCCTACCCCCTTTGATCTACCTCACCCACCCACTGATCTACCTTACCCACCCTTTGATCTACCTCACCCACCCTTTGATCTACATCACCCACCCTTTGATCTACCTCACCCACCCACTGATCTACCTTACCCAACCCCTTATGTCACCTCTTAATAGTGGTAGTTGTGGTTGCAGTAGAGGTAGAAACACTAGTAGTTGCAGTGATAATAGTGGTAGCAGGAGCAATAGGTTGATAGCAACATTAAGATAGCACAAAGAGCATCAAATGAACGGCCCTCCTACACGGCTCTTGTGGATTTGTTCATTTAACCCGACTGCCACTGTATCCTTGCCTGGGTACAGCGGCAGTCGGCTATATAGCTCAAGGGTCAACAGTAACCGGCACTTACTGCTGGCAATGCAAACAACAGAACAGCAGTTGCTTTAGTTATTGAAGATCAGGTGAACTAGGATAACAGGATCAATAGGATAACAGGACCACGTTTATGAGTGGGATTGGGTGGTTATAGATAGGAGCTGCCTCGTAGGGGCCAATAGGCCTTCTGCAGTTACCTTGTTCTTATGTTCTTATGTAATACACCTTGTTGTGAAGTACCGTTCACACACCCAAACAACCCACCTAACCTATCGACGCCGATGGGGTGGTCAGCTTAACGGGGGGGCTTCAGTTTATACTAATGTGTCTGATTTTAAAATGTCGACTTAGAGCATTATATCTTGAGCCATGAGGCTCACCGTCTCCCTTTTGAGATAATTTTCGTCATTTTCAGCCCCTTTTTGTCCCATACATCAACACGGTAAGATGGAAAACAACGGCGTCGACTACAGTGTCGAATACAGCGTCGACTACAGTGTCGACTACAGCGTCGACTACAGCGTCGAATACAGTGTCGACTACAGCGTCGACTACAGAGTCGAATACAGCGTCGAATACAGCGTCGACTACAGAGTCGAATACAGCGTCGACTACAGCGTCGACTACAGCGTCGACTATAGCGTCGAATACAGCGTCGACTACAGCGTCGACTACAGCGTCGAATACAGCGTCGAATACAGCGTCGACTACAGCGTCGACTACAGCGTCGACAACAGCGTCGACTACAGCGTCGAATACAGCGTCGACTACAGCATCGAATACAGCGTCGAATACAGCGTTGACTACAGCGTCGAATACAGCGTCGAATACAGCGTCGACTACAGCGTCGAATACAACGTCAATGTCGCCACAAGAGGGAAGACTACAGCGTCAATATCCCCACCAATAACTCTTCTCCTCTCTCTACTCCAGCCATTACAAATATCTTTCATGCGTCCGGGTTACACAACAGCGAAATCAACAACTCCAAATTACTGCGTCAAGCTTGAATTATATAATTGGTAATCGACAATGAGGGTTCAGAGCCTGCTACTAGGCACACAGCTTGGTATTCTCAGGTCAATGTGAGTGAGGGTCACTCATTTGACCTTTACATATGATGTGTGTGGGCATTATCAAATATGTAAATTGGGTCTAGCCAATTGCGAGGCATTTTTTGTTATTGATGGCAAACGGTTGGTTGAGTTGCACCCGTAAGTGGTTCATTGTTGGTTTGTGTTCTGAAGCAACACACTGGAGGAATGGTTCAACAAGTGGCTACTAGAGTTTAACTCAAGTAGGTGTAAAGTAATGGAAATAGGTGTAGGGCGTACGGGTCTGAACACAAAGTAGAAATTGGGAGATGGTATCCTTCAAGAGTCAGGTAGACAGATCTGGGGGTTGATATCACATCGAACTTGTCCCCCAGAAGTCCCAAATCAAAAGGATATCATCAGTGGTGTATGCGAGGCTGGCTAACATTAGAACTTCATTTAGAAGCTTGTGTAAGGAATCATTCATACACACACACACACACACACACACACACACACACACACACACACACACACACACACACACACACACACACACACACACACACACACACACACACACACCCACACACACACACACACACCCACCCACACACACACACACACACACACACACACACACACACACACACACACACACACACACACACACACACACACACACACACACACACACACACACACACACACACACACACACACACACACACACACACACACACACACACACACACACATACACACACACACACACACACACACACCATAACAACACAACCATTCATACACATTTACAGACAAAACTCCCCCTTTGTGGCTGGCGAGGCCCTGAAATAGTGAGTAACTCTTCCCGTCTGTTTCACTCTATGACCAAACATGTTTTGTTTCGTGGTGTCACCCCAAACACCCGCTTGTTTGGCTTTCATCTTGTTTCCTCGGTATTGACGCTGTTATGAGGACCCGCTCGTTACTAAGAACATGGGAGTGGGTGGACAGGGGTACCTCTAAGGGGTACCTCTAAGGGGTACCTCTAAGGGGTACCTCTAACCCAGACCCGGGTTTTACCTAGACAACGCAAGCACCGAGAAAATAGACCACATAATACCAGTGTAAGTGGAGCGCAACATGGAGCCGGTCGGCCGAGCGGACAGCACGCTGGGCTTGTAATCCTGTGGTCCCGGGTTCGATCCCGGGCGCCGGCGAGAAACAATGGGCAGAGTTTCTTTCACCCTATGCCCCTGTTACCTAGCAGTAAAATAGGTACCTGGGTGTTAGTCAGCTGTCACGGGCTGCTTCCTGGGGATGGAGGCCTGGTCGAGGACCGGGCCGCGGGGATACTAAAGCCTCGAAATCATCTCAATATAACCTCAAGAATGGAGACATTAGCTCAGGAATATAACATAGTGCAAAATGGGCTTTCAAGAAAATAATGATATTCTTGGCAGGCGTGTCAACCACTTGGGGTGGACGGTAGAGCAACGGTCTCGCTTCATGCAGGTCGGCGTTCAATCCCCGACCGTCCACAAGTGGTTAGGCATCATTCCTTTCCTCCGTTCCATCCCAAATCCTTATCCTGACCCCCTTCCCAGGGCTATATAGTCGTAATGGCTTGGCGCTTTACGAAGCAGTTACGCAAGCACTTACGAACCTGTACATCTTTTCTCAATCTTTGGCGGCTTTGTTTACAATTATTAAACAGTTGATGAGCTCCGAAGCACCAGGAGGCTGTTTATAACAATAACAACAGTTGATTGGCAAGTTTTCATGCTTGTAAACTGTTTAATAAATGTAACCAAAGCCGTCAAAGATTGAGGAAAGATGGACACGTTCGTAAGTGCTTGCGTAACTGCTTCGTGAATCTAGTCCGTAAATTCTGAACATTTCATCCTTTACTAAGTAGTAAAGGATGAAATGTTCAGAATTCATAAAGTTGAATGAAACAGTATTGACTGAGGTTAAATACACAAATAAACTAATGGAATGATTCTTCAATTTAATCTTTAAATTGTTAAAATTGAATGACCTGAACAGTAACGACCCAACAGTTTACAATACGTCACTTTAAACTACCCACGGCTAAAACGCTCCCCCCCCCCCAACAACAAAAAAATAACTGGCACAAATAAACATTAACATTAATTAGTCTGTACGCTAATTACTCTCGACTAGTTGAGTGATATTTAAATTTTTCATCATAATTTTGTCATTCACAGATAATATACAGCTGTATGAGAGATAATACATAGCTGTATTACTGATAATACATATTTCAGAGTAATAACATTGATGCCTTACTTAAGGATTTGTGATGGATTTAAAGTTAATTAGTTTTAGAGTAGGAAGATGAAGATGCTGAAGGATGCTGTCAGTAGGTGAGTCATCTCAGCTGTGAGGCCCCAGCAGGTGATTCATGATTGGAGGTACTCACCCCGTGATTGGAGGTACTCACCCCGTGATTGGAGGTACTCACCCCGTGATTGGAGGTACTCACCCCATGATTGGAGGTACTCACCCCGTGATTGGAGGTACTCACCCCGTGATTAGAGGTACTCACCCCGTGATTGGAGGTACTCACCCCGTGATTGGAGGTACTCACCCCGTGATTGGAGGTACTCACCCCGTGATTGGAGGTACTCACCCCGTGATTAGAGGTACTCACCCCGTGATTGGAGGTACTCACCCCGTGATTGGAGGTACTCACACCCCATGATTGGAGGTACTCACCCCGTGATTGGAGGTACTCACCCCGTGATTGGAGGTACTCACCCCGTGATTGGAGGTACTCACCCCATGATTGGAGGTACTCACCCCGTGATTGGAGGTACTCACCCCGTGATTGGAGGTACTCACCCCGTGATTGGAGGTACTCACCCCGTGATTGGAGGTACTCACCCCGTGATTGGAGGTACTCACCCCGTGATTGGAGGTACTCACCCCGTGATTGGAGGTACTCACCCCGTGATTGGAGGTACTCACCCCGTGATTGGAGGTACTCACCCCGTGATTGGAGGTACTCACCCCGTGATTGGAGGTACTCACCCCATGATTGGAGGTACTCACCCCGTGATTGGAGGTACTCACCCCGTGATTGGAGGTACTCACCCCATGATTGGAGGTACTCACCCCGTGATTGGAGGTACCCACCCGGTGATTGGAGGTACTCACCCCGTGATTGGAGGTACTCAGGTCGTTCTGAAAGCAACCCAAATATAAATTTAGACATATATATATATATATATATCATATATATGGATATATATATATATATATATATATATATATGCAACAATGATCACAAAAACACTGATCCAAGTATGCAGAATAACCACATATGAAAAATCAAAATGCTTAACGCGTTTTCGGCTAATTCGCCTTCATCAGAGCAAAGTAGAATCAAAAGTTGATTCTACTTTGCTCTGATGAAGGCGAATTAGCCGTGAAACGCGTTAAGCATTTTCTAGGTTTTCATATGTGGTATTCTGCATATATATATATATATATATATATATATATATATATATATATATATATATATATATATATATATATATATATATATATATATATATATATATATACACCTGGCCAGCCACGACACCACACACCTGACTCCCTACATTATATATATATATATATATATATATATATATATATATATATATATATATATATATATATATATATATATATATATAATAATAATAACAAATCTAAGTGGTTACAGCCATCAGAACGCTGTAGCAAACATCTGAACGCCGTCGATAAGAGCTGAACGCCGTCACCAACAGGCAGGTGGATCAAGGGGGAGGTGCTTTAAACATTGACCAAAGCACTAATGGCCGCCCCGGTCGCTTTTCCGGCGTCGTTTCAATTCGTAAATACCTGAACAGGTGTGTGGTACCCCTCCAACGACCCTATACACCTGGCCAGCCACGACACCACACACCTGACTCCCTACAATATCACACACCTGACTCCCTACAACACTACACACACCTGACTCCCTACAACACTTCACACACCTGACTCCCTACAACACTTCACACACCTGACTGCCTACAACACCACACACCTGACTCCCTACAACACCACACACCTGACTCCCTACAACACCAGCCACCTGACTCCCTACAACACTTCACACACCTGACTGCCTACAACACTTCATACACCTGACTGCCTACAACACTACACACACCTGACTGCCTACAAACACCACACACCTGACTGCCTACAACACTACACACACCTGACTGCCTACAAACACCACACACCTGACTCCCTACAAACACCACACAACTGACTCCCTACAACACCACACACCTGACTCCCTACAACACCACACACCTGACACCCTACAAACACCACACACCTGA